TTTTTAATTTCGAATTGCAGATTACAAAGACAACTTTAGACAGAACAACCAAAGATGAAAGAAAACAGCAAAACTGAAAAGGAATCCACAGTATAATCTATAAATCTATTTTGTGTCTTGCTTCTCAATCTTTCTCCCAGAGTGATCCAGTGTTAAATGCAGGGCAACGACTCGGACATGAGGGATCTATTTCCTCATGAAGGTTGCACAATTTACAAATTGGGGTTGGGATAATGTTCATTCAATGCAGGTGTTTTAAAAGGCAATCATGGCCAGTATCAAGACAATAGATAGAAACAGATTTCTTTATCAGCCGTAAAGGTGTGTCAAAAATGCTGTTATCCATACTTTGTTCTTTTTGGTAGCATCTTTCCAAAAAGCTTCTCTGTAGTAATTTTTTATTACTCTTTTTGGCAGTGTAAAAAGAGATGTGGTTGTCAGTTATTTGGAGAATACCAGCCCCTTTCTTTGCCAAAAAAATCTGCCTTATCATTTACATGGTGGCCACAGTGTGATGATATCCACTGCATGGCAACTTCTTAAACAAAACTTAAAAATCTGATGTGTACACCAAGAGCTTCCTGTATGGAATATTAAATTATACACATTTTCCCCTGCATTTCATTTGAACTTATTTCCTTGAATTTCATTAGAGATATATTTCTCATTTAATTAATTCAGTTCTCACTTCACGTCAAGGGAAAAATACGTAAAGACTCAAAATATATTCATTAAAAATTGAAAGATATAGAAAAACATAAAAGACTAAATACAGTTAAAACAATTAAGAGAATTTTTACAATTAAAATTACAGTTTCTACACAAAAGCAAGGAATTTGGCCAGCAGGCAGGAAAGAGGTGCACAAAAAAACATTTTGGTCTCACTTGGCAAACAGACACCGAAGGTGCAGAAATACTTAATTCACTATTCTGCTAATTTCCAAATGTAAAAAAAATATGGCTGCTATGGCGAAAAAAATCGGATGTGTGACTTCCTTGTATGGAATATTAAATTATATGCATTTTTTCCTCCATTTCATTTAAACTTATTGAATTAAATCTACTTATCTATAGTACATATAAACCACAATAGAATAAATGCGTTTTATAAAATTCACTACATTTATTTACCATAGCGAAAGTCTGGCATTAGGTTAAGTTAACAGCATTTATTAACTCATTCATTTTATAACTAAGAATGCAAAAAAATTATATCATCTGAATAATTATCTAATTGCTGCCACAACTTCTATTCAAATACTATAATAAATCTAAAACAATGCATAAAGAAATAAAAATTAACAGGTTTTCACAGATGATTCAGCGCTGCTTACTTAATGCGCATGCGATACTCATAAACATTCTCCTCTGTTTGAAACAGACTGGCGACAGTATTTTCAGCTAATATGAAACACTAATTTCCTTGAAATTTCATTATAGATGTATTTTTCATTCAATTAATTCAGTTCTCACTTCGCGGCAAGGTAAAAATAATAAAAACACAAAATATCTTCATTAAAAATTTAAAGATAACATAAAACACCCAACTACAGTTGAAAAATTATTATTATTAGTCCAAAGGGATTTCAGTCCCGAAGAACTATTGCTTTCGTTTTGGCATTTTGCGTCGGACTCATAAACGTCGGTTCAAACTGTTGCCACAAAATGTTAGAGTCCTGCATTATATTTGAAGAAATTAAATCATGAAAAATCTGCATAAATGATTGTCTATTTCTCGCATTGTGATAAAACAATGGTACATAGAGCCATCGAATTTTGAATGACGAAATCCTACTGCGAATATGGGCATTTGAAATTCCAAATTTGGAATTTGTTTTATTATAGATTTTATATTTTGTAAAACTTTAACGAATTTTTGATTTACAAACTCAATGCTTTAAAAGCGAGAAATGGCAACAATATGTAGAAAAAAAATACTTTTATCTCCAGCTCGCGAGACTGTGTATATCGGAAATTCTAAAGATATGCTTAATTTAACATTATTTTGCGATATTGCTCTTGAACTGAATTTTATGGTTTAAGTGCAAAGAACATGATATTTAATAAATAAAGGTAACACTCAAAACGTTAAAAAAAACGCCCCTTTGGACGTAATTTAAAATCTGAAAAATTTCAGATTTTTTTTTTTTTTTCGCAGTGTACATTGATGATGCTATTACCCTTCAGAATTTTGGAAAATTGAAAACGTTTTAAGCAAAATGTTTAAAATGCAATAAAATTAATACCAATAGCAAAAATGTCGATTCCCTTGATATTAACATTCTCAGAATGTAAATAAATTCAAATTTTTGACAAAAAAGGAAGTTGTTTAATTTTGATCTAGATATACTAATGAATTAGAACTCCAGTATCTCTAATAAGGTTATTGTTACCTTATTACAGATTATTAGACCTACTTATTATTAGGCTTATTAATAGTAAAACTTCTTTATTATTATTCTTTTTTAGCTCGCAACTACAAAACCTGTACATTAAATTATTTTAATTTTTCGTGATACTAATGATAGAATATATTTAAAGTAAAAAGTAATATTGTAAAGAAGATATTTACAAGATGCGAAAAAATTGTAAGAATTGTTACGAAATTGTCCAGCCGCGCTGAGATAGCTTCCTTGCAAAGCAGTTTTAGGGTTGCCATAAAATGGCAAAATAAAGCAGGGTTGCCAAATTTGGCGAAAAATCGCCCGTTTGGCGAAATTTGCGACAAAATTGGCGATTTGCCATGGACGGATGGAAAACGAATTCTTACCGGCTTAGCCCAGAATGTTCTCGAACACAAGCCGTAAGCTATATAAACCCTGTTGGTCCGCAGTCAGTTAGTATCGAGTTGGTGTCTCGTCTAGCGAGTCAATCCCTGCGGAGTCGATCGAGTTGACAGCCAGGCAGCGAGTGGCGAGTGGGTCGTCGAGTGCTCCGAAAGAGTCTTAGTCTATCGCGGTTAGTGCATCGTCGAGAGAGCGTGTTAAGCTCCGTGATCGACTAAACCGAAGAGTCGGGAGCTGTGCTCTGTGTGTCGTCGAGTGCAATGCGAGTTGTAGTGTGGAGAGTCTCGAGAGTACGTGGAGTTCCGAGAACGACCAAGCAAAGTCGGGAGCTGAACTTGTGCTTGGCCGTGAAGCTGTCTCCACCGTGCTATATATAAAACTAATAAATATCCTAATTCAAACAATAAAAAACGCAAGTTGAATTTTATCAATCGGCCTAGTAGAACGGGAGATATAGAACTGTTTTTTTTTTTTTTAGTCCAAAGGGATTTCAGTCCCGAAGGACTATTGCTTTCGTTTTGGCATTTTGCGTCGGACTCATAAACGTCGGTTCACTTTTCAAACTGTTGCCACAAAATGTTAGAGTCCAGCATTATATTTGAAGAAATTAAATAATGAAAAATCTGCATAAATGATTGTCTATTTCTCGCATTGTGATAAAACAATGGTACATAGAGCCATCGAATTTTGAATGACAAAATCCTACTGCGAATATGGGCATCTGAAATCCCAAATTTGGAATTTGTTTTATTATGGATTTTATATTTTGTAAAACTTTAACGAATTTTTGATTTACAAACTCAATGCTTTAAAAGCGAGAAATCGCAACGTTATATAGAAAAAAAATACTTTTATCTCCAGCTCGCGAGACTGTGTATATCGGAAATTCTAAAGATATGCTTAATTTAACATTATTTTGCAATATTGCTCTTGAGCTGAATTTTATGGTTTAAGTGCAAAGACATGATATTTAATAAATAAAGGTAACACTCAAAACGTTAAAAAAACGCCCCTTTGGACGTAATTTAAAATCTGAAAAATTTCAGATTTTTTTTTTTTAAATTATTATTTTTTTACAATTCAAATTACAGTTTCTACGCAAAAACAAGCAATTCGGCCAGTAGGTAAAAAGACGGATTTTTTTGACGCACAAAAAGCAAAAGTTTACTTTTGGTCTCACTTGGCAAAAAGGCACTGAAGGTGTAGAAACAGACTTAATTTATTGCGAATGCTATGAGATAATTTAATAACTTAAATGATAATTCCAGAATGGATTAAGCATAATTTAATTTGCAATAATAAAAGAACATGTTACTTTGTTGTTGCGAAGCTTAGTTTCTCTAGATTGGCAACAAATCCACTATTCTGCTAAGTTTCAAATGTGAACAAATATGGCTGCTATGGCAAAAAAAAATTAGGACTAAACTAACTTAGTTAACACTCAAACAACTTTTAAATTGTTAATTATTCTGCAACTATAACATGCAGGTTAACTTAAGGCATAAAAACCTTAACTGGAAGATAAGAACATAATTCAATCATTTTTAAAGCAAAAAAATGCACAAATTACAAACATATAAGAATAAAGAAACTGAGCTCAATGAGCTGAGTAACAGAGTGGATATATATAGATATAGATATATTTATATACTTTTGGTGCAGGCATTTGCAACCAAAATAGGAAGTGCACATCTACATGTTATAGCAGTCCTACATACAAAATTTCAACTTCTGAGGCTACTTGTTTTTGAGTTATACGAGATACACACATACGTACATACGTACTTACAGACGCCATGAAAAATTCTCTTCTGAATCCATTTTAAATCAGTTTTATAATTCGTTTCGGGAAAAAGAGTCCTTTGTTCTGTTCTTACATACAAATGGCATGCAAACACATCTTTATATTGCATTCGATAGCAATCAAAATAGATATTTTCATTGAAATATGAAACCCAGAATTTCTCGTGATTACAATACTTCCTTTACTTCATACAAAAATCACCATAAATGGATTGCAAATACCATACCATATAAAACTGCATCAAATAAACTTTATCATATTAACGAATGAAAATAATGATGATCATTCATTGGCTTGAAATAATAAATTCATTAAGTTCCCATTTTGCACAGCAATGAGTATAAATATAATTTACTACAATAGCAAAAACTGTCATATATTGGCAAACAAAAGGTATATTTACAACTTACTTCTCTGAATAATGCACCATAAAACTGTACAGTATATGGACAATCACTACTCCGCATTGAGATATCTAAGTCCATGAGAAGGCGCTTCTGTTCCTTGGTATTTACTGTCGCAGTAATTCTCTACAGTAATAAATTGGTAACTATTTTTATTGTACCAAAAATAATAGTGCATGGAAAATTTTATACATTAATGTAACTTAAAATACCAAAGAGTAATAAAATGTTAAATTTAATCCTGGATAATAGTGAAGGCCTAGATAATTATGCAATAAAATGGCTATTTCTAATTTATCTCATTTATTATGTTACTAATGATATAATATGGAAAATATATATAAAAAAACCAAATACATACAAATTCAATGACTTAATATAATATAAATTGGTTAATAAATTGGTCTGAATATAAATGTAGAATAATTTTTATCTAATTAAGACACAATAACACGCCGAACAAATACTAATTCAGAAGTCAAACAACAAAAATCAGCGTTATATTTTAAAAAAATTCAACATTATATTTTTGAAAATATAACGCTGATTTTTGTTGTTTGACTTCTGAATTAGTAATTTTTACCTACCAATGAATGAGATATAATAAAAAAACATGATAGATTTTTAACTGAATTAAATAAAGATCATTAAAAAATGGCAATTATTACAGAACAGAAACAAACATAACGCATGAAATTGAAATTAAAACTCAAGTAGTTCCAAAGAGAATGGAAAAAAGAACTCCTATGAATGGTTGGTGCCGAGAGAGAGATAGCCAATCTTCAAATACTAGTTGTGAAAATATTTTCGAAAACATAATTGTATATATATATAATGAGTTAACTAAAAACCTTAAGCCACTGACATCCTAACTCAATGCTGAAAACCTTTATTTTAAAATCAAAGAATCGATTTCCTTTAGAAAAACCTCAACAAAAACAATACTCCACCTAAACACAAAGCACTTACATTTTCCCCATTAATACAATAAAATCATATAAATTAACAAAGACAGCTGTCAAATTTTGTTTTCCACCTTTTTTTAAATATGAAGTAGATTGGTCAACATGTCTGGCATGATTTTTGTTAAGATATTTCAAACTATTTGAACTCATTTCCTAAAACAATAGCAGCACTTATGCATTATCACAACCACCTTAGTAGAAGTCGCCAAACTCTAGCAAATCATGCACATAAAGGGCCGTTCCCGCTGGGGCTTATCTGATCTAACGGAGTCAGTTCCCTGTGTCGACTAGCTCCGCTATGCCTGCAGTTCAGATTTTTCAACTTGCTGCCCTATGGGAAAAAACTGGTTTAGGAGATGGGTCGGCTACGTTAGTTGTTGCTGTTAGCTCAGATAAATATGCACATTTTTTTCATTTCAATACTTATATGATACCTTATATATATATATAGAATTCTTGATTGCATAATTCTGACATTTAAACAGAAAGAATGAAATACTGTATTAGTTGCATAGTTCTTCCCTTTCTTAATTTTATCATTAAGAAAATCGAGAAAGGAATATTACATAAATAATTTAATTTTAAAGAGCATGGTTATAGTAAAAGTATAACAAATTATAAACATTAAAGGAAAAACTACAAGTAAGTATCACAATATTATTTATTTAAACCTTTTGGTCTTAGTGAGCACATACAACCCAGAGATTTCATTACCTATTGGGTAAATAAAACTCACTTTTAAATGAATTTTTATGTTTTCTGTGTTTTTAAGGAATTAGGGAACAAATACATGATTAAAGAAACTCGGCCTATTTGCCAAATGTGTCAGATTGCACTTTGTAATGACTGCTTTATACCATATCATACTTAATTTGTACTGTAAGAATCAAATATTCGGTACATTTAATTTAACTTCATTATTTATTCACATGCAGCGTAAGGTTATTATCACAATATCTTAGATGATTGGGAGGCAAATGCTACTCCCTAGATCTCAATTCATTGTTATTTGAACTAGTGTCTGAGTTGTCTGCTATCACTTGCAAGTCATCACAATCATGTCCATTCAGTCTCTTCTCATGGGCAATGACCTTCAGAACCATCATGAGCATTAAATATTCCTTTTTCCTCAAAGGTTTTCACTGTTAATGTTTCACAAAGCAACGTTTATGCATCCAAAATCCACAAATAAATCTATTCAGTGGAAGGTCTTTCTGTGCTTCTGGTTCTAGTAAAATTATACAACCCTGCTTGTTCTAAAACTTTCAGAGGTAGTTTTTGAATGATTTATTCACTTATAGGTCCAATGGTTGCAAAAATGATGTGATGTTAAGTCTTCTTAAAATAATGACAGTGATGATGTTCTTTTACTTCCTCCATGACATGCTCATGCAAGTTATCCAAAAGTATAGTTTGATGGTAACGCATCTTGATTGGCATTCTGCCAAAATATTTAAGATTGCCCAGAAGGGAGTGTTAATTACATGCTGCAGGGGGAGGGGGTCACATGAGAGTTCCCTTTTCTCAGGAAAAACAGAATTTACTATTGAAGGAGAGAAAGTCCCCATGTCATGGGGTGATCCTCTTGTCAGCTGTCTTTCATGCCTTTGTTTCATATTCACAGAAATAAATGTGAAGATTCGCACAGACATGCAATGCTGGAAACCAAAAATGTTGAAAGTTTTCTTCATAACATGAATTTTACATGCATATTTCATTGCTTATGTTTAAAAATAGGATCCCTAAAAACAATGGAACTATATTTTTTATTGGAAATATTCTGTTCATAGTTTAAAAAAAAAAAAAAAAAAAAAAAAAAAAAAAAAAAAAAAAAAAAAGTATCTACCCCCATCTGACCAGGGTCTCTCCTTATCATAGTTGATTTAATATGACATTTGCCAATATTGTAATCTTTTCCACAAGAATGATTTTCATTCTTTTTTACTAAAATAAATTTGTTCCTCCCACTTCAGCTATGCATAATAAGGTATATAGATTTTAGTCCCAAAATTCAAAAAGAAATATAATAATTATTTATTATAATATAATTATTATACTTAATTAAATATGCATAATAATTTTTTATTATTGTACAATTATTATACCTAATTATTGCAAAATTTCTTTTTTTTCCCAGGTGTATATGCACATATATTTTAATTCAAAGGTAAAAAGATACATACTAAAAGATATATATTAATTACAGAACTATAATAATTATTTATAATCATAAAATTATTATATAATTAATATATTAGAATTCATTGTAATGAAAATTATACAATAAATATAATAATCAAGTAATTATAATAACAATTATTATACAATAATAGTTATTTATTATGCTTTGTCATAAAATTATGTATAATAGCAAAATAAAACTTTGAAAATGCTCAGATTTTTTACAATATATAAATATACAAAATTAAGCACAATGTTAACATGAAATTAAACAGTTAAATGATGATCAGCATATTAGTTTAGATTACTTAAAAGTAATTTTCTGCCTATTTGTGCTCTTTGAATGCAATGAAAAATAAACAAAGGAAAAAAAAAGAACAAAAAAAAATTCCTTCTTCCTGATTTCTATTCCATCCATCCTATTTCGTTAATAAATCGGTTTGAATGGGAAATGCGTGTTTGTAGTCATGGTCACAGCATGTGCAGTTAAAATACAGCAGTGACTTCTTATGCAGAACACTTGGCAATGGATCCATACAAATCTAAGCCTTTCTTTCCATTAAATCAAATTACCTCATGGAGAATGATTTTTGGAGATATAATGGAAGTTTTTTTATGGTTATGATACCAATGTGGTATGATGGGATGGTGAATCTATAACAATCATAACATATATATATATATATATATGTGTGTGTGTGTGTGTGTGTGTGTGTGTGTTATGGCTTACCTGAAGTAGGATCTTGGTGAAGCTTGGCTTCATAGCCAAGTTTGACCAAGATCCATGACCATGGGGAGCCATGGAGCTTGACCATGGGGTGAGGATCACCCCAAGACATGGGGACTTTCCTCCTTCAATAGTAAATTCCGATTTTCTTGAAAAAAGAGAACTCTCATGTGACTCCCTTCCCCTGCAGCATGTAATTAACACTTCCTTCTGGGCAACCTGAAATATTTTGGCAGAATGCCAATCAAGGTTGTGTTACCATCAAACTACAGTTTTGGATAACATGCATGAGCATGTCATGGAAGAAGTAAACAGATATCGTTTCTGTCATTATTTTAGGAAGACTTACATCACATCAAACTTGGCTTCATAGCCAAGCTTGACTGAGAAGTGATGGCAGCAATAAACTGAAAAGAAGAAGTGATCTCTAATATGAGGTGAGTGACCACTCACTTTATTTCCTGTCAAAAGAAAGTTCAACTCTGAAAGTTGATTCTCAGACTTTCTAATAGCAGATAACATCCCTAGAGGTCATTGTTCAACTGACCATACACATATCCAGCATAGCCAACAAATAGTGAAAAGCCAAGCTTGGAGAAAAAAATCACTGTCAAAAAAAGCAAGAAAAAGGGATCTTGCAAAAAGGCATTCAAAGCTCCCAAAAGACCTCAATGTTTGTAATTGCCCTTTTTTTTTTTAAGAGCATCTTTTCCACCAATGAAAAAATTCTACAGCCAGGATCAACCTATCATCAAATCCCTCTTCCCTATCAGACAAAATGAAATGAAATGAATTGTCTGATGGCATCACATGCTCGGATTTTACATGTTAATGGTGAAAATGCCAACAAGAGTGACAACAAAACATGAGCGAATAGTCGAACTTTGGTCTCATAACACAAATTGCTACTGCAAGTGTATGATATCACCAAGTTTTAAGAATGGAACATATTTTCAGAGTTTATAGTTTGATCAGGGGTCTATAAAATCTACCAAATAATGAATATGACGTTATTAGTTTCTGACAAGACTATAATATATTACCAACTAACCATCAATGTTCCAATTTGCATGAAATGAAGTTTTATTTATGTTAAACAAAGAGCATGTGGCGATGTTTGAAATACAAGGATAGTTTGCAGCACGCAGATTGCTATTTGTTACTGCCACTAGATTCATCAACTGCTGGTCTAAGGAAATAATATCCATAAATTTTTACAGTGAAGATTGGTTTGGTTTATGTGATTCTTAAGC